ATGAGGGGAAAGGGAGATGCCATCTGGTGCAGTTTTCAAATATGTGTTCTCTGGAACATTTGTATCACTAGATTTTTGCTGGGTTTGTGTAACAGTTGGTGATATCTCCCTCTTCATTAAGTGCTGTATTTCTCATTAGCATGATCAAGGTTCTGATAACTCCTATAGCAAAGATATCTGATTAACCTTCCTTAACACAGTGTTTACCAAATTACTTACTAAAGGAATACTTTTTTACATCACACCAATAAACATGTTCTGGGACTAATGTTTTATAGAGGAAAGTACTGCTAAAATACCATAGCAATTGCTGCTAGAATTAAATCCTTATCCAATCAACAAAGAAGTTTTCAGGTTTGTAAAACCTCAGTGGACAGCTTGATGTTGGGTCTTGGATCCTGTAGGCAATCTGAATTATTGACCTTTTAGAAGCGGGCAGTGAATAATTAAGTGCCTACTTACAAAACAGTGCACCTGGAACATATTTTAAGATCCAGCATCTTTGGAATTTGCTTGTACCACTTTGGAATGGACAACTAAAATGCGTATTTCATACTTTGGATACTATGAAAATACGCTGAATTTAGGGACAGAAAGGTATTGAACAGTATTTAATGGTACTGGCCCTAAACATGACAGGGATTATTATTTGCTTGCAAAACATAATTTTCTGGGAGCCCCAGGGCTCATTAAGCCCCAAACTATCTTGCTCACTCCCTATCACTCAATGACATTCCACCCCGGGGGGCTCTTCTCCTCTTATTTGAATTAGATAATCAAAATAACCCGTACTTTTCTATCTCATGACTCTGCTTAGGCCTTGTCTCTTCCCAAAATGCTTTTTTCCTTTATGTCTCTATCACTACCCATTAGAATCATGTGCTGCCTTCAAATGACTTGGTCTCCCTAACACCCTTCCAAAAGTTCTCCATAGTGGACAGCTCTTTGTCCAGGCCTCTGCACGGTAATCCAAATGTTCCCTCCTTTCCTATGTCCTAACAGAGCTTAGCTTGCTTCTTGGTTATAACACACTCTATGAAATACTGCTGTTGGGAAACATGTATAATAGTCTATCAACACTTATGTAGTATTCTTGGTAATCAGAGACCATGTTTTGCTTACGATAGTGTCTTACACAGAGTAGATACTCAAAATTAAATGGCATGGCAACTTTCAAAATTGGCCTTTATCCTCTTCACCTTAGGAAAGTCACATAGAAACCAGATTGAAAATCACATTCTGAGTTTCTATTTATTAGTTTACTTACTGAAATATACACAGACTACTTCACATATAAACAAGAAATTTCTTTCTCTTGGACCCAGGTATTTTTAGTATATTTTTCATTTTCTTTCTCCCCCCGCGGGCCCCCCCCCCCCAGTTTGAAGGTCACAGACAGTTTATCTTTCTATAATTAGATGAGGAGAAAAAAAAATTGAAGAACCCACTGGTACCAGGAAGAAGCTAGGGTCTTTTAGGGTCTCGCATTTGGTTAGGTAGATATTCAGTTACTGTGTATTTACATTATTTTTCCACGGCAGGACACATGGTGGAGTCTTGGGAACACATATGCTGGGAGCCATAACTTGCTCACAGGGCTGTTGTTGCCACAGTAGTTGGTTGTGCTGTGCCCCAGACAAATGAGGTGCTGGTCTGTTCCCATAGATCTTTATCGCAGTCTTCATCACAAGGAGGGCACTGCCATGAGCTCTCAGCCAGAGTCTCTTGTTCAAGATTCCCGGTTTGGTTGACAACATCCTGCTCAACAACTTATATCCTCACAGCTTGAGATTGGATGACTGTTTTGGGCCAGAGGAACCTGGTGGCAAGCACTGAAGGGACAGTAGCCAATTTGTTTGCAACATCAGGATGATTCTTTCTGCAGTTGATAAGATGATAAGGAAACCTGCAGGCCCTGATCTGATGGTTTTTATCAGAGGGGCACTGTAATAGCTTTTTAGGGTCCAGGGAATTGATGTAAGTTTTGTCCATTTTGTAAATGAAGGAACTGAATCCAAATGCTCAGTGTAGACACACGCTCTCGCCATAGTCACTTTCTCCCCATATCTGTGCCCCAGCTTTAGTATATTTCTATACTAAATATTTCTATATTTCTGACCAAGTGACAATAAGAAATATACTTTTCAGCTGGCTGAAATTTAAAAAAATTTTTTAAAAGCAGTAAGATACATATAACTGCAGAGTCAAGTTTTTGTCTCTTATTCTCTCCAGACGTGGTTCTTCACCCATTTCTTTTCAAAGTTAGAATCTTTGTTTTTAACTTTTTACTTTTAAATAATTTCAGACTTGCAAACGAGTTTGAAAAATACTATAGAAATTCTCTTACAGTTTTCACCAGCATGCCCAAATAATTACCATTTTACATAACCAGGATATAATTATTGAAACCAGGAAATTAACAATAAAGCAATTCTATTAACTACTCCATAGACTTGGTCAAGTCTCCTTGGTTGTTTCATTAAGGTCCTTTCTCTTGATCCAGAATCCAATTCTAAGTTACCTTAGTCTCCCTCAGTCTTCCTTTGCCCATCATGACCTTGATGCTTAGAAAGAGCTTGAGCCAATTTTTTTATAGAATGTCAATTTCAGGTCATCTGATGTATAAGCAATGATTATAGTCTTGAGAAATATATTCATAACCTAGAATATTTGTGAGAATTATTTGGATGGAAAATATTTATTTCCTCAAATATTTTGTTGAATGATAGCCTTAGTGTCCCTATGGTAACAGTGGATATTTTCAGGTTTTAAAAAAAGGCAGAAAGTCTTATTTTTCTTCTTTGCAGATGTTTTGCCTTGTATTAGTCTTTTGAAGGATTTATAATGAGATTGTATTCCAGAGCTCTGTCAATCTCTGTTAATATGAATATGTGTCTTTTATCAAAAAATATTTTTTAAATATGAAGCAAATTTTTTGATCACACACATTACATTGTTTTTCTTAGTAATCAGTAGGTAGGTAGTATCAGACAGCTCGAGGTGCTGAAATTTAATTGTTCGAAGTGATCTACTCATTGCCCTGGCTGGAAACTCTTGGGCTTGATTTATGATATTGTTCAAGGTTTTTTTGACGTATTTGGTCTTCCTGCTCTCCAATTTCAAGTGTGCCTTTCCCTCTGGATAACTGTCCTGTCCTGCTTTTTTGCTAACTTTTCTACTCATTTTGACCATTTCCTGCCTTGATTGACTAATTTACCCCAGTCTGCAATCTAGTTTCTCTCCCCACCACCTCACTGAACCTGCTCCTTCCAAAGGTGCACATGACTTCCTAATAGCTGAATTTGCTGCTTGTGTGCATCATTTGACAATGTTGGCCACTTTCTTCTTTCATGAAATACCTTCTTACAATATATGAGGTACACTCTCGGTTCTTTTGCTGCTTCCCAGAGGTTTTTTTCTTATTCACATCTTCTCTTGTGTTTAAATATAGGCATTCTGTGGGTTTATTCTCTAGCCATACCAAGGCATACACTCTGGGCTAACTCAAAGTCTCCCTGAGCTTTGTGCAAATGACTCAATCTTTACCTCTGATTTGGATACCCATTCTGAGGTTTAGTTCTGAATTTCCCATTGAAACTTCAAACTCAGTTAGCCATCAAGCTAAAATCATTAATTCCCCCTTGAACATGAACTTCTTCTTTCTCCTACCCCTACTCCTGGGCTTGGGCTGGGGTGAAATCACGCATTAGATTCTCCCATCACACTTCGTCCTCTGCCTCCTAACCCATGCTATTCTCTTGATCTGGATTGTTCTTCTTCTCTCTTCCCATGTTTTACATGCTGATTTTTCATTTCAGTACAGTTGAAATTGTACTCAGTGATGCCTACCCTGACCATCTCAAAATTAATGAAGACTCTCATGTTTATAATTAATTTCATTGTTTTGTGTTTTATCATTAGTTGTAGGAATGTCTGTATTGCTTTCCTCGTTGGATTGTAAATCCCTCAAGTGATCTTGGTGGCCCTCATAAACCAGCCCAGTGCCTACTTATGTACTGATTTGTTGAATTGACTTAAAATGAATCACCCCTGGTTTGCTGCTATTGTTGTTATGTTTATTTGTTCTGTTTTATTTTTAGTGGCCCTGCAAACAACATGCTCTCCTCAAGGATGATAATGCTACACTGTTAACACAGAAGCCTTCTATTTCCTCCCTCCTTCCTTTTCTCCTTCCTTCCTCCCTTCCTCCCTCTCTCCCTTCCTTCCTTTATAATAGGGGCAGAAAAAATTAGAATGAAAGCAGCTGACAATCTCTAAGACATAATTTATACCCTCTCAATTACTCAGAGCAATATCTTAGGCAGTTACTACAGTAAAACTTTTCATCAAACCCAGTATGCTGAGGCCAGAAACATAATCACATTATTTGCAATTTATTGTTGCTCCCTTAGTGATCTGCAGATCAAAAGGTATCTGTTCTGACACTTCATTTCTGAAACTTAATGTTGTGTTTGTTTAATTCACCTAATTAGGACTTCTTAGCACCTCAAATGGGTGCTTTAAAAAACAACACCACCCAGCTGTTAGCCTAGGGACAAAAGAATAAATGCAAATTTAGCACTTTTCAAAGGTGAATCTGCACATTTTGATGTCTTGACAGCATTCAATAAAAATCAAGTGTCCTTAGACACAATCTGCAAATTTCCTGATTGTTTCTGGACCCAAATCACTTAATAAATATGAAATGTAGGGGCTCCTGGGTGGCTCAGTCGTTAAGTGTCTGCCTTCGGCTCAGGTCGTGGTCCCGTGGTCCTGGGATTGAACCCCGCATAGGGCTCCCTGCTCCGCGGGAGGCCTGCCTTTCCCTCTCCCACTCCCCCTGCTTGTGTTCCCTCTCTCGCTGTGTCTCTCTCTGTCAAATAAATAAAATCTTAAAAAATATATATGAAAGGTAGTTTTTAAAAATTGACCATTTTCTGGGGGAAATATATATGTATATGCGTAAGTACAATCTTTTATAATATAAAAATACCTTTCAGGAGCTTGTTGCTGCTTCTGAGATAAAGAAAATTCTCGATGTCAAGATTTAAACAGAGAAGAGAATGAAATACACAAAATGGTAAGTGACTTGCAAATAGACCAGAGCAGCCAATTTTCTAATGTACCATTGTGTAGTTATCATTTATAAGTTGCACACATATAAAATACATACTTTCTTTTTTAGTTTTTTGAGGAATCTCTATACTGTTTACCAGAGTGACTGCACCAACTTATATTCCCACAACAGTGCATGAGGATGCCCTTCTCCCCACATCCTTGGCATAGCTTGTTTCTTGTCTTTTTTATACTAGCTGTTCCAACTAGTGTGAGATGATATTTTGTTGTGGTTTTTATTTGCATTTCCTGATGGTTAGTGATGTTGAGCATCTCTTCATGTGTCTGTTGGCCATCTGTATATCTTCTTTGGAAAAATGTCTTTTCAGGTCCTCTGTGGATTTTTAATCAGATTAGTGTTTGTTTGACATAGAGTTGTATGAGTTCTTTATATATTTTGGACATTAACCCCTTATCAGATATATGATTTGCAAGCACTGTGGAGTTTCCTTAAACTAAAATTAGAAGTAACGTATGGATCCAGTTAATTCTACTTCTGGGTATTTACCTAAAAAAAATGAAAACAGTAATTCAAAAAGATACATGCATCCTTGTATTTATTGCAGTGTTATTTATAGTGGTAAAGATACAGAAGCAACCTAAATGTCTATTGATAAGATGAATGGATAAAGAAGATGTGGTATATATACACAATGGAATATTACTCAGCCATAAAAAAAACCCCAATGAAATCTTGCCACTCACAACATGGGTGGGCCTAGAAGCTATTATGCTAAGTGAAATAAGTCAGACAGAGAAAGGCTAATACCATATGATTTCACTTATATGTGGCATCTAAAAAAAAACTAAACAAACAACAGAAAGAGAAACAGACTCATAGAGAACAAACTAGTGGTTGCGGAGGGGCTGGGAGTAGGGAATGGGAAAGCAAAATAGATGAAGGGAAGAGGCACAATCTTCCATTTATAAAATAAGTAAGCATCGGGGCTGAAAAGTACAGCATAAGGAATATAGTCAATGATATTGTAATAACGGTGTATGGTGACAGTAACTACATTTATCATGGTGTTTCATAATGTATATAATTGTCAAATCACCATGTTGTACACCTGAAACTAGCATAATATTATATGTTAATTAAATTATGCTATACTTCAGTTAAAAATGTAAATAAAAAAATAAATATAAATAAAATGTATGCCTATGTTAGTCACTATTGCAAGCAGTTATTAAATATGACATTTGAATTGAACTTTGTCCCCTCCTATATACTTCTTTTGATAAACTTGGTAGAAGACACTTGGCTATCCCCCGTAGCAGGTGATTTTATTTTATTTTTTTTAAGATTTTATTTATTTATTTGAGAGGATGAGAGCAAGAGAGAGAAAGCATGAGCAGGGGTAAGGTTGAGGGAGAAGGAGACTCCCAGCTGATCAGGGAGCCTGATGCAGGACCCTGGGATCATGACCTGAGCAGAAGGCAGACGCTTAACCCACTGAACCACACAGGCACCTGATTTTAACTTTGATTTTTAATCATGGAGACTTCAAGATTGCTTGTATGCCTAGGACACACGTATTTTGCACTCCTACTACCATGGAATTTTTTAAGGTGGCATTTAGGATCACAGCACTAGTTTATAAATAGCAAGCAGAGTCTACAATTTAGGTTATTCAAACTATTCAACATAAACATGCAACAGTTAAATAAATATATCTTGATGCTTAAAGGGCTTTTTATTAGTTTACAAAAGCAAGTCAGTTTTACTTAGTTTATCAGAATCACTAGTGCCCTGGGTTGTTTTCTTTTCTTGCTGTGTTTTCTCTAATGGATATTAGAAACATATTGCGTAAGCTTCCTTTTCTCTTCTCATTCTATTCAGAAGACCCTCTCTAGGGCCTCCCAGAGAATGAGTGATAGAGGGTTGAAAGAGCATAGGGAGGATAAGAGAAGAGAGTTCCAGAGTCATTGCTGGAGCTCGAGTGTAGGCATGCAGCTGGCTTTGCACTGTGCCTAGCCCCACGGCCATCCTGCCCCATCCAGTGCTCAAGGAAGTGCTGCATGAGTAGGGTGACATGGTGGGACAAACTAGATTTTTCCACTAGTCAAATTTCAGAAACCATTCACAGGTCCCACTTTATTTGGTTAGTGTCATTCTTTTAGACTAGAACTCCTTAAGTTGGGATCAAAGAATAAGCTTTATATAAAATAATCAGTAATCCCTCTGAAATTATATGCAATGTAGCGTATGCATATCCCTTTTTTTTTTTTTCCCTGTGGAGGCAACCAATGGGTTTTATTAATTTTCCAAAGGTCTTCATGACACACAAGAAGTTTTTATGTAACATGGTTCTACTAATTTAGAACAGAGTTGATAAAAATGAACATTTTAAAGAAAGTGTGGAATGAATATATATATATATATATATATATATATATATATTTTATTAATATTCCAGGTGGTACTGGCTATAAAATTTGTACCCTCATGACTTCTTTTTAATTATAAATGTTTTTAGAGGAATAAAAACTACTCAAAAAGTTTTATTGGTGTGTTCCTATTCATTATTCTCTAAACTCTGAACCAAATTTGAATCATTATTCTTACAAACAAAAAATATATAAAACTCCATTCACATTTGTTTTATAGTCACTTTACAAACTCTTACATAAACTTAGCTACCCTATGATTAAATGTATGTTTTTAAAAGCCATCTATTATTTTTTTTTAAATATTCTGCTGATACTGGCATCTGTTACAGGAGTATTGATCTCTATTGCCTCCAGGGTTTTTTGTTTGTTTGCTTTATTTGTTTGTTTTTGCTTGAAGTTATAAATAGAAAAATCAGTTCTGACCCAGTCATAATTTTTCTTATCTTAGCTTGAGACTTGGGAAATTATTTGTTCTGCCTCCTGCGTAATATCCTTCTCTCTGCTAATGTGGACATTGTCTCCCACTTCCATTTATACTAATGAAAATATTGATTCTTGGGTATTCCAGCAAACTATTTTGTTCTCACTGAACTCTATTAACAAAGATTCTCAGCCTGTGTCTACACCAATTGATAATTAATGTTATCCTTTTCATTAAATATGCCAGATATAAAGGAGTAGTCCAGATATTTTGGTGTTTTTTTTGGTGGGGGGAGAAGGGAGGTTATCTTGGTTTTTGATGAGCCCAAGAAGACTTCCCATGCCAGCCCAGGTCCCCATTTGATGGTGAATGGGTTCCCCACCTAAAAGATATCTGAAGCCTACTGGCTTCAATCATTGCACAGAAGTATTTTTGTAATATTTTTTCTTCTCTTAGTGAATCTCTTTTCCAGAAGAAAAAGTTGAAATTTAATGAGATCAATGTCGGAAGCCAAAAGTTGCTCTGAGTTATAGTGTTGTTTCTCAGCCAGATGCTTGTCTCTTCTGCTCAGCTGCAAAATTTCTTTGTACACAGGGGTCTCTTTAGTGCCAAGGGGGGATCAGCAAAAAGGAGAAGAAAATGTAGCTGCCGCTGCGTGAATGATCCCATGTGCACTGACTCCTTCAGTGAGTTTTCTTTAGAATCATTGGGGGAATGCTTTGCCTAACCAGCTATCCAACATTTAGGATTTATTTTTAAGATGGTCAGTTAATATTTCTTGAACATAAACTTTTGGCCAGAGTAACTGGAAATTTCAGTTTATTAAATTTTTACATACTTAACTATGGTCTACAGGGTATTTTAAACTCAGCCATTTGGCTTTACATCTACTTTCTTGCCCCCCAAAATATGTAGTGTGAAATGTATGAGAAGTAATTGGATAAAGTGCGTTTTCCAAACCCCCATTTCTCATTTATTCAGATAACAGAGAAAAATATACAGTATGATATATATGATGAAACACACTAGAAACACACTAGATTATAAGCTTGCATTTCTAGGAAAATTAAACAGAAGTGTTACCACTTCTGTTGGAAGTTCCACATAAGTTGGAACATATGTCCCTAAATCCGTAAGGTAGTATATATTAATGTGTAAAAATCTAGCTTGAGAAAAAACCAAAACATTATGGAATAGTTAGATGACTTATAAGACACCATACTATGGAATATTAAGTAACTTTTGAAAGTCTGCTAGGACTATATGTTCTGGCTTGGAAAGTTTTCCATGATATATTTTGGGGGTAAATGAGATAAATTATAGCATAGGTATGATGAGATCACTTTCTGACAGAAAAAAAAAACAACTTTATCAATCTTACATTATAGCCACATGTACATATGTAGAGAGAATTATAATTTTAGTCCATTTGCTTTACATAAAGACAAATAAGTATACATTTGTTCATGCCATAAAATGTCTTGAAAATTCCCAGGTTACTAGTTATAGATATCAGGGGAATAGAATGATAGAAAAAGGAAAGAAAGTCCTCTTTACTTTCTCCTTTATATACTTCTATATTACTAGATTTTTTTTAACCTCAAGAAGGTTTTATTTTTATAATTTAAAACAGTCAGGTATGATACTTATTGAGCAATTGTTTAAATGTCTCATTTGTCTGACCTGCTAATAGTGTTCTGCTTAGCAACATATTTTGGAAAGTTCCAAACAATTTATTCAATAGAAACAAATGAAATAATATTGGGCTGAGGATATATTATTAGATTACATAAAGCTTTATTCTGATAAGAATCTATGTTGTATTTTTCTCTTCCAATTTCATAGCAATTGGGGTGACTCATTTTCTCTTTCACCAACTTGTTAGACTCCGGGAGACATTTCTCATGTGTCTTTATCTATTCTGTTTACCATTTCGCCACCACAGGTGCCATTTATAAACTTGCCAAAGCCTGGCTTGAATGGTCTTACCACTACTCTGGACTACCCCTTAGAGGAAGTGATCTGGAGGTTACAATACTTCTTACTGCTCTTCCTGGCTATAGGATCTCATTCACCAGCCTTCTTCCAGGTTAATATAAGATACCCTCAGAAATTGTTTTATTTTCCATGGAAGGCAATCTTTCAACACCA